CATCCTGTATATATATAAATATATATATATATATATATGTAAAGTTATATATAATCATTGACGTATATAAAAGACTGTATTCATATTAAACATTGATCAGAATATGATTTGGCTTGACATTTTATCACCAATTACATAATTCACTATTTTATAGAGACATCTAAAATGAAGGACATATTTTTCGGAATGTAATGTACCTAAACTAAAACAATTTAGTTATTATTAATTTACTGATATAACAACACATATCACACAATCAATCAATATTGATAAATTTAATATAGAATTTAGACATGCAATTATAATGTTACATAATTGATCGAACTACAATGTTAATATATTTTTTATGTTTATTTGTATAACATAGACATCCGATTATATTTGGAAATTTAATACACAAATTCTACATTTTCAGTAACATTATTATAATAATTAACTTTTATTATAAAAAAAAAAATACAAAATAGCCTTCAGATAAAAAAGCAGCTTTTAATATTATTAAGTTTCCATTAAATCGCTTTGGGAATTTATTTCTGAATCTGCTCGCTTTTTATCTTTCGTATCTGTTTTAGGAATTGGAAGTTCTATTTCTTCTGTCTCGATATCTTGTTTCTAGAAAAAATAATGGATATTTTTATATAAAAGATAACACGGTACAGACGAATTAATCATTAATCTTTATCATTTCTTCAGTAATGCAGATGGTTTGTACATTTTCATTTTGTACAGGAATTTCTTGATTCAGAACTTGCAATGGTTCAATGGGCGGTAATTCTAAAATTTTCTCGTAAAGTGATATGTATACATTCCTCGTATAACTTTGCTGCTGATCGCGAATTTTTTTTCTCATATTATGCTTTTCCACCTCCGGTAAAACAAAATTGTAAATCATATCCGCTACCAATTCTTCATCTGCTAACTTATTAGCGCTGTGAAAATATTATTATGTTTTACATATTCTTTTGATAAAATTATTTGTTTACATTTATTAGTTATCAATGCTCAATCATACTTACTTTTCTGCGGCATGTTTCGTTACAGCGTCCATTTTATCGCAAATTTCTAAAATATGTTCTTTAGCCGCCTTATCGGATATCCAATCGATTTCTTCTCTCACAATATCTTCCAAGTACGCTTCCACCGAGTCTTGATTTACTTTCATGATTTGTTTGAACATTTCATCAAATTCTCGTCGTCGATTATGTTCTGCTTGTCGCCTGCCAGCTTCGGCGGCTTCTCTCATACATCTTTCTCTTTCGGCAAGCAAGGCAAAGGCGTGAGCTCTACGTTCATCCTCTAATCTCACTAATTCCTGCAGATAATGCAGGAGATAATCGAGTGAACTGTTTCGCGGTAATAGATTACAAAACTTACCTTACTAAGAAAATCTAATGTCCCACAGATTGTCTTCCCCTCTAAGGAATCAAGAATCTCGCATAAATGATTTTCCTGCATTGATTGATGCTCTTGTAATTGTCGCAAATTAATCATATGTGTCTTTTCATCGTAATCTTCGTGTTCGAACACTTGAGTCGATTGTAATTCCTCGATTAGCTCTCTACATCTATCGCGTCCTTTGTACATCTGTAGCATAATAAATATCTTTTTCGTATTATACAACTCTATAGAATCTTATTTTCTGTATCTGTTTTAAAAGTATAATGAATGGTCGGATTTATAATTTACCAGACACTGTATCGCTCTGCCTTTAACAAGCTTCTGAATAAAGGTAGCAGATTCTTCTCGTTGTTTCTGTTTATTGTTCCATATACCCGATCTGCGCGGTGTGGTAGGCAAAACTAATTGTTCGTGATTACGCCTTACTAAGCTTGGACCTTCGTCTATAGATTTGACTTTCATTCGAATAGCTTTCAAATCGGAATGAAGCTGCTTTAGTTTTTCCTCCGTCCATTTGGTTTCTCGTATGCAGATGTCTATTGGTTTAGGTTTATGTTTAATTACTTTTGGTTCTTCGATAGTGGGTAGCCAACTAAGTATTGCATTTTCTTCTTCTTCTTCTAAATAACAATTGCGATGAATTGAATAGCAGCAATTGCGTATTAATTACAATTAAATAAAATTAAATATATACTCACGCTCAATATGATATTCACTTGAGAGTTGCTTCGATAAAATTTCGTGCCGCCTCTGGGGATGTTCATCGAAACGCATTTGCGGTGTATACAGATCAGATTTGGGATTGATATATCGTTCAATTATATCGGGTTTGCGAGATTGATGTTCATTGCGATGTTTCTTATATAATTTTCGCAAATCTCGTTTAAGATTATATCTGATAGCATTAATTTGATTGTCTCGATATTTGGTTAGTTTGCTCTCAAGTCTACTGAAACGACCCTGCACTTTTTTCTCGTATTTTGATTCATGACTTTGTAGAAGATTCCTCATTAGGTCCAGACGTAAATTCATTATGAATTGAATCTCCTAAAATTATAATTAAAGAAGGAAGAAATGTAGGTATTACATTAGGTTGAGAGTTTTATTATACTTATTTATTATATAATTAAAAAAAGAAGATATATATATATATATATATATATATATATACAGATAAATGATTCTTCTTTATGTTTTGAAATACTTACCGATTCTCGAAAAGCCCATTCGTCTATCTCTAAGGCCATTATTATTGAATTTCGCATTTTTATATTGGCCGGTGTATCTATAGGCGGTAGAATGGTTTCCCAAGCTCTTTTTATCCGCATCCTGTTGATAACGTGTACCTCATGGACACCTGCAGGTAATCCATGCTCCCAAGTTAGATGAGCTAATGTCAATACTTCAGGATTATGGCCTAAATGAAAATTAATATATTGTAAAGTTCTCACTTCGGCATTTCCAGCTTTGTTTTTTCCGCTTTCTTGATTGACTTATATGTATTCTATGTGAATCTGATACAGTATGACTGCAATATAATTGTTACCTGGAACAATTTTGCATGGTGGCTCCCAAGGTTCAGTTTGCGCCTCACTTTCTCTATAATCCGTTTGCGTTTCTGCATTTTTGTATGGTTTCGATTTAGAGAATGCAGTGTAACATCGCCTCTGTGTATTTTGTAGAATTCCATACAGAGTCTTGTGCTCCAAACAATGTGGTGAGATATCTGCAGTCTGTACTTTTGATGTTACACAGGGTACCATAGATTTTTGAAAATGCTTATACATGTCTCCGCTAATAGATCCAATCGTCTTATCTTGTACAGCCATTCTATAAAGTCACAGAGTTTAAGTTTTCTTAACTTAATCTCTGATATCTCTGATAGAAAAGTAATATTTTGAATGTATAAGACTTGATTGAATAAGAGAATATTCTTGGAATAAGAACAATAAGCAAAGATTTACCCAAAATTTAAAGAGTAATTGTATAATTTGTATTTTACTAAAAAATTATCCCTGTCTTGAAACTTCTTGTTATCTAGAGTTTCGGAATATTCACATGTTCGCTAGAAAAAATATAAATGTTAGTAAATTTAAGAAGAATTGTATGTCCATATTCAAGTCTTACAAAAGTATACTATTAATAAACACTTACAAATAGATTGGTTTTCCGAACATTTTTACTGCTGCACGCAGTATAAGTATAATCCGCTAATGCATCATTAAAAAATTGTTAATTATGGACTAACTGTTAAACTTATGTGACATATGTATCTTACGACGTTTCATGCTTCTTTCCGCTGTAATTTGCATTGTACTTAATGCAGCTTATTATACGCTACATTTAAACCGTTTGGTTTATTCTATTCTTGCAAGAGCTATAAGAATAAAGTATCTATCACACATAAAAGTAACAATCAAATGATGTAAGAAGCAGTAAGAAGACTTCTAATAAACCAATATTGATCAAACTATGGATCAAATATGCCATAGCAACGAAAATATAATATATAGGAAGAATTAATATAAAAAAAGTTGATCAATTAATATATATTTTATATTCTTCGAATACTTGTGTTACACTTAACAATGATTAAATGTTTACATTTATATTATCCTACAAATGTAATTAATGAATTTTCAGAAAAGGCAATAGCATTTAAAAACTTTATGTAATTAAATTATTTTTCCTGTTCTTTAAATTAATAGAAAATGCATGTAAGAAGGCATATATAAATCGATAGCACCAGAATATATCTTTGTTAGTTACATAGAATATTTGTATCTGCTGATACAATCAATATACATCAGATTATATAGCTATGCAACATTTGATTATCAATATGTGATAACATTATATATAAGTA